ACCCTCATGGGGAAGAACTTCTTCCTCACGTCACATCTGAACCAACCCATCTCTGGCTTCAATCCATTCCCCCTAGTCCTATCACTACCTGACATCCTAAAAGTCCCCTCCCCAGCTTTCTTGTAGCATCCTTCAGATACTGGAAAGTGAAGTCAAGTAAATGTGCTTGGAAGTATACTCAGAGTGAGCTGTTCCCCAAAAAAGGGAATTGTGTTAAATACAAATGGAGATTTTTGTGGGGAGGGGGTCAAGAAGAATATCTTGAAAGGATCAGGATAGTTTCTTCTGAAAAGAAGCGGGGTAGACCTTTCAGCATTAAACAAACATGCATGCACAAACCACCCTCCAAAACTTATCTTCATCTGCCTAGGGCACTTTTCTTGAGCAAAGGGGTGTTCCCTCTCTTGTCATTTCCTCTGAAGTAGAGCTCAAGGAGAGGTGTTCAGTGTCACCTCCTTGAACACAGACAGCCTGAACATTCTCTCTTAACACATCTCTGGCAGTGCTGGAGCGCCTTCTGCATATTTTTTTGAGGAGATGCACAAGGACAGAGAAAGAGAAAAAAAAAAAAAAAGAAAGGCGAAAGTCAGCTTTTAAACTAAACAAATCCAAGTGTGTGTCTTGCAGGAGGCTGCGGAGACAGGTGTGTTTCTGTGGCCAACCAAATAGAAAAAGGCTGTTTAACTGCATCTGAGATCTCAGTGACAAGCAGGCTGCGGTCTCACTGCTCTGGGAAGATTTGGCAGTGAACGAAGAGTGTGGCAGAGGCACCTGTAAGTACCCAGACCTCCTGCAGGAGGTATTTAGAGCTTGTTGCCTGTCCTGCCAACAGTTCAAGAGACTTAAGTATCACAACAACCAACTCAACAACTTCTCCGAGTGAGGCAATAAGGAGGAGAAGACAGTTTGACACAAAAAAAGGAACAGCAGATGAACATGCCCATGTTAACAATGGAAAATATAGCAGCCCTGGTGTTAAAAACAGGGATTAAAAATGAGGAATACACATGAGTAGTTGGCAACAACAATAACGCAAATGTATTTAGGAATACAGCAGGGAACTGCACAGGTTTGTAAACAGGATAAAACGATGTTGTTTCCTTTTGTGTCTTAGAGATGGATTTTAGGATTCAGAAACTGATCCACAATTCTGGGTAACTGTTAGCTAAAATCATTAAAGTAAGATAAAAATTAAATTAAAGGGCAACTTTGTTCAGTCCACCTTCAAACTCAGCTAAAGACATGTATAAATAAAAGTCCAAAGTACAGCCAACTCAGTGGTGATATCATCTAGTTCACAAGATCAAAGAAACTGAGATCCTTATAACAATGGCACTCAAACTAGAAATATTAAAAATCAAATACCTGAGTAAATAAGTGAATTTAGCACATCAAGGCAAAGAAATACCATTAAATCACAATCAGCTAAATCAAAATAACTTTGGAACAAATTGTAAACATGGACTGATTTTTTACTTGGCATGCAAATTGGCTTTGAAAACATAAATACTTGAAGGTCCAGAAAGAGTTAGGAAACATAGAATGAAACTAATGGTCAGCCAGTCCTCACATATTCTTTAAAATATTTCACCTTAACTGTCTTGATACTTGTTAAAAGACAAATCAGTAATTAGGTCCTTTAAGTGAAAACAGCTCTTATGACTCAAAAGGAAACATAATCCTTTTTGACAACTATAGGCGATATTTTAGTAAGAGATTAATACTACCCTAGTAGTACCCTGTCAACAAAAGCAATGCTGATTATATTATTTTTAGTGTGTTGCAACCTCTCTGGAACAGTATTAGATTGTTCAGAAGTAGAACAGTGTAGAAAATAAAGGAAAAGAAAATAAAGAAAAAATAAAGAAAATAAGGAAAATAAAGAAAATAAAGGGAAATAAAATCCAACTCTTTAAAGGACATAAAAGAGAAGATATCACCTGGCACTGAACAAAGCAAATGTTTTTGTAGAAGTCTCTGCCACTGTGGTACTACTCTTGGGGGCTGGAGTACCACAATGATAGAAAAACATAGGGGCCCTGTACAAAAAACCAAGGAAGGAGAAAAGGCAATATATTTTGCGGAAGAAAGGAGATGCACCACTGAAATAATTAAGAAGACAAATGTGACCTTCTATTTGTCTTTCTATTTATCCTGGAAATACAAATCTTGCAAAGTTTCTAAAAAAAAGAGGAAAGGGAGAACTTGGAAACTCTGTACTCAGTCAAGCTATTTGAAATTGTTGAGCTTTTTAATTA